ATGAGTTTTCTGTTCTTTCACTGTTCATATTTTTTATCTTCTTTTTCTTAGATAAGTCCCTTTAACATTTCATACAATAAGGGCTTGGTGATGATGAACTCCTTAAACTTGATCTTATCTGAGAAGCGCTTTATCTGCCCTTCCATTCTAAATGAAAGCTTTGCTGGATAGAGCAATCTTGGATGTAGGTTTTTGCCTTTTATGACTCGGAATACTTCTTTCCAGCCCCTTCTTGCCTATAAGGTCTCTTTTGAGAAATCAGCTGACAGTCTGGTGGGAACTCCTTTGTAGGTGACTGTCCCCTTATCTCTTGCTGCTTCTAGAATTCTCTCCTTCATTTTAATCTTGGGTAATGTAATTATGATGTGCCTTGGTGTATTCCTCTTTGGGTCCACCTTCTTTCATAATTTTTTTAATTGCAGTATAAGAACTATAGAACTTTAAAGAGACTATCCTGCTAAACTGAAAGCTATGCATTTAGCATCGGCCATGTTTGCAATACTACAACTGCAGTACAAAGCTCAGACACAGTGCTGTGGGTTATTCACGGACCACAATGTCAGGGCACATGCCTGGGTTGTGGGCTGGGTCCCCTGTAGGGGGCACATGAGAGGCAACTGCATGTTGATGTTCTTTCCCTCTCTTTCTCCCTCCCTTCCCCTCTCTCTAAAAATAAATAAATATAATTTTTTAAAAGACAGATCATTATTATGCCTCCTTTTGATACAATGACATATCCCCTGATTTTTCTGACCTGAAGGTACCCTGCACAGATTTAATTCCATCAATGGTAATGTGTTATGTACAGATACACAAACATTGTCCTCAGGACATCTTCAAGCAGATCTTCAGAAAGGGCAGGTGTGGCTGAAAACTCAAACAAGGTTCCAGATATGTAGTATTTTCTGAGTTGTAAGTCACTGATGATGTTAAGATGCACCATCAGTTCAGTAACAGCTTTTGGGAACATGGCAAAGAAATACCTCTACTTAAACATGTACGTCAATTGTAAAATGTGAACCCTTTTTAGAGATAGTAAATATGCAAAATCTATAAAGTATATTAAGTATGTGAGCAGATACACTAAGCTCTTTTTTTCTACAAAGAAATAGAAAAGTAGATTCAGTATATAAGAAGATACACTAAACTCTTTTTGTAAAAAGGAACAGAAAGACTGAAATACTCTCTTTGTCATCTTTCTCAATCAGCTTAGTCTCAGCTATTCTTCACTTAAGTTTTTACACTGTCCCCTCGACCTGCCGCCACTACTCCAGGAATAGGTCGTGAATTGCTGGGTGGGTCGAAGGACCTCCACTAGATCCTCAGAAACAAGAACAAACTAATACAAACCTCACAGGTTCCCTCTATTTTCCTCCCTTGGGATTTCTCCGAGTCTTTGACTGTGCATTGAGTACTGCAAAGAACAGCTATCCTAGCACCGCTAGAGCATATGACTTCATTTAACTAAACAAAGAAATAAACACACTTAGATGCAAGGCAGACGATACTTGAAATTATTTTTAAATTCCATCAAAAAGCCCGTGATGCCACTTACACACACATAAAAAAAAAACCTTAGTATAAAACCTAAATATTCGCTTATTGGCATATTATCTGCTTGTTCCACTGGAAGTTAAAATCCATGTGAACAGGGATTTTGTCTGTGTTTAAACGAGTGAATGAATGAGTGAATTTCTTCTTCCAAACAGCAGAGTCATTATACGACTGCAGCCTTCTTTAATTTTCACACTAATCTGAGGAGGTAATAGGACTCACTTCATGTTATTAACTATACATGTCCATTCATTCATTCATTCCCCACTAAGTCTTTTATGACCTGCCCCTTTCCAGGTTTCCCTCACATCACGCCCCCATGGCTACCAGCAACGCTGGCCTTGGTTCAGTTCCCAGGAAGGTCCGTGCTCTTCTGTCTCAGAGCCTCTGCCCAGAACGCCCTCCTCTCCCTCCCCAACCCCTTCAGGTTTCTTCAGGAAGACTTCCCTGACCACCACTTAAACTGGTGTAGTGCCTGTATTAGATAGTTTCATAGTTTCTTGTGTTTGGTTTGGTCTGGTTTTTAATTATAGTATCTATCACAGTTGTAAAATATATTTGTAGAATTATTTGCTTGATGTCTTGCCCCGCCCTGTACCACTTGCTGTAGGCAGAAGCCACATCTGCCTTCCTCCCCATTCACAGCCCCATCGTCTAGCACAGGGCCTGTCAGATAACAAGTGCTCAACCAATGTTTATTGAATGAATACATGAATTGTGTTTCTAGGAGCATAATCTGTCACCAAATATATGAGTCCATGTTCTATTGTACTGCTCTTCCTCGGACTCAAGGTAGGTGCATACTCAATACTTCTTGGTGGAGATCATCATTTATCTCCTGCAAACTACATTCTTGGAAGTCTGCATGGCCCTAAAAGAACTTGTTGCAAAATTGCTCAAAACTCAACTGCTTTCTATTCTTTTTTCAACATACTAATAAAAGAGCAGTTTGCTTTTTCCTTTTTTCCACTTAATGTATTAGCTGTTCTGGCACTAAGAACATAACCGGGTGGAAAATGGTGGTCAGGAAATCAATTATTTGGATAATGAGTATTAGTTTCTATGTCTGTATTTTAAAACACCTGGAAACAGATTTTAATTATCCTCTAAATATTTGACATCTTGTACTCTCAGCCTCTGAGATAATATCCTCATTGCTGTTCCTGAGTGAAAGATTCTCAGTTTGACAAAACAGGTGTTTTTGTTAGAGAAGAAATTTTGGAACATGGAAGACACAGAGTAGCAAACTCCTAAACTAAGAGGATCAAAACAATATTTTTTAAGAGGAGGAGGGAAGAAAGAGGTCTTTAATGCAGGGAACTGTAGAGAACCATAATTCCATATGATCCCATATGTGAAGGAGCTATTCACATAGGAAGCCTTGGGGAAGATATGGAATTCTTGAGGAACCAGATAAAATGATTGCAACCTAAAGAGCTAAAGAGAGACACCACCAAGACAACAGGAAGTCAGAAATAATTATAAACCTGAATTTTATTTGTATACTTCACCTTAAAATAGTTTCTTTACATACATCTTCCCTACCTATGATTACCAGGACCTCCATTGCTAGGCAATTTTTATTCAAGTGTGTGGAACCCTTCAAACAAAATTCCAGAACTCTCAGGAAATTGGGGCAGAAGTTGCTAACTGAAGCCATCTTCTCAGAAAGCCCATTAAAGGAGTCACCCTCATCTTGGCCTTGGTTGCTCCTTTCACAAGCTAACAGTAGTCAGACGGGGGCTCATTCACTGCCTCAGAGCTTTTCTGTCCATTTCTCATCCCAGTTGTCCTCCTTTGGGTCTGGCAGACGCTTCAGATCAGCAGCCCAAAGTTCTGCAGCCTCTTCTTGTTCCACATAAACCAGAGATGAAGCAGAGCATATTTGGGGCTCACACGAGAAGGGCCTCCCCAGGGAAGGATCACCTGACCCTGAGATCACCAACACAGAAGAGAGACCTGGGTGCTGGAGGAGGAGCTGGAATGACCAGAAGCCAATAGCAGCCATACCGACTCTCTACACCTCCAGGTCAAGGGAAAAAGTTCTTCTGTTGAACTGTACTCCTGCTTTACTGTCTTTTGGTGCTTTCTTATTATTCTTCAGTTGAAATTAGAAAGATCTAAGAAACTAACTCAATGGCTATGATTATATTCAGAGTTGTGATATTCATGAGTAGTTCCACCAGAGCACTATAAGAAGCAGCCTCTCAGGGGTCTCATCCCTACCAACTTAAATGCGCAATTCTGTCTTGGCCTCCAGGAGAAATGCGTTGGGGCTGAGACTTAATTCTCAATGTCAAGAAGAGGAAAAAAAAAACCTTTAGACTTTACTTAACACAACTTCAAATATTTCTTTACTGTTCCACAGATCTCAGAGGGCTGACCTACCAAATTTGGAATGCAGATTTTTCACTTTCACTTTCTTATGACATTCAGACGAGCCGTGTTGCTCAGCAAATACTACTCAGCCGTAGAGAATGGAAGGGGGTAAAGGAAGTGGGAAGAGTGAAGTACATTTATGTTTCATTTTAGATCAACTTATCTCCCTCCTCTGCAAGATCAGTAAAATACAAAACAAGGTTGGATTCTTGCCCATGTTTATTTTATTTCTGTCATTTTATCCTCATATAAAACTACTTGGCCAAGTAAATATTGGACTAATATTTACGCTTTGTTTACAAACAGCCCCTCAAAAGTATTACCAGGACCTAAGCCATATTACCTTGCTTCCAAACCTTGGCTGGCTCTCATCCGGGGCCAGGAGCATATTTTGAAAAATATCCACAAAATTTATATACCAAATTTCCCTTTCTGAAAAGCCAATTTCCTGAATATTCCATGAGGTGGCTTTTGAGACCCACATCAACACACTGAGAAAGTAGTAACGTTCCTGTCTTAACAGGATATGCACGGCTGTGGCTGCTGCCATCCCGACGAAACCACAGTGGGATTTCAGAAGAATGTTTTCTGAATTAGAAAACATCCTTTCTACTTGCTGCCCAGTATCCACTTAAATTTTCCATACCAAATGAGTAGACCTAGAAAGTAAGGAGGGGAATGGACGTGTATGTATAACTTTTTTTTTTTTTTGCCAGGAAGCAAGACAGGTTTTTAAATGATCGGTTATCTTGTTTTGTTTTTTAAGTAAATTTCTTATACTCGAATAAGGTTTCTATTTAATCAGAGTCACCAGAGAAGAGAGCAGAATATTATACAAATTTAGACTGGATCCATAGTTTTCTTTTTCAGTAACATTAATTTATCAAGAGCTAAAAATGGAAATATATACCTTAGGGCAAAGCTTTAAGCTAGTATTTTCTATTCGCCAAAGACCAAAACATATAAACAGGCAACAGTCTCACTAGAGGGCAATAACTTTGCATTCTGAATCATAAGTCACACAGTTTGAAACTCAGGCATTAAGAGAGGTGAGAAGAGTAACTCACAGTACGCAGTCGAGTGTAGCCTCGGTCCTGGGAGCCTCCCACAGTATCTCGAGATTTTATCACCAGCAGTTCTGCAGCCCTGCAGCTGAGACCATTCATAATCAATGACTATTTTACTTGCAGATTTGACAGCTCAGTTCAGCAGTTTATATAATGCTGTTGCATTTAATTTTTCTGTAGTTGCCTTTACAAACAGGAAACAGGAAACACACCTACAAGAACACTGACATATTTCAGTCTAATTGGTCTTTGTCTGCATCACAGTGGGTGATAGGTACAGTCCCCAAAAGATCAGGACTCATGTCCTGGCATTTCACAGTCTAAAATCTTTTAGACAGGTGTTATGCAAGCAATTTATTCCAGGGAAGAACAGGCATGCTTAGTAACATTCAAGCTTTATGGCCTTAATCCTGGAAGGACTATAAACTTTAGGATAAATTTGTGTATATATACAAACATGTATGCATTATATATATACATAACTATGTAATATATATTACACAAGTAATATATAGTATACTTATATATATTATATACTTACTTATATATTATACTTATATATTTAAGTAATATATTAAAGTATATACATTATTTAAAATAATAAATAACATTAAAATAATGTATATAACTTTTCCTGAAATATATAGAAACTATCATTCAGCAATCTTTTGGCTATAAATATCAGAAAACCCAACTCAAATTCACTGACACAAATAAATAACAAAATAAAAATAAAATATTTTGGTTCATTGAACCGTGGGGGGAAAACCCCAGATGCAGGGTTGGTTTCAGAAGCCAGAGGTTTACGCTATCATTTGATTCTCTGCAATTTTCTTGGCACAGGTGTTTTCTGTAAACTGACTTGAACTTCCAGCTGCCTCCCTCATGGAACAAAAAATAAAGGCTACAGCTGTTGAAGACCACACATCCATCTTCCAAGGGGACAGCGCAGCGTGCCTGCCATGTCAGTCCAATGGAGGTGCTCAGACTGCCCATTGCTAAGCCAGTCACCAAACTGTGCTGACTGGCTTTAAATTAAGCAAGGTTTATCCCTGGAGGTGAGGGTAGAATCATGCCAAAGAACAATCTCATGGAAAGACATTCAAGATACTGTGAGGAAGGGAAAGGGTTGAGGGGAAGAATACTGGGGAGAAAATCAACAAATGTGCACAAAAACACCATTCAGCAATAAGCTGGGTCTGAAGGTTGGTGCTTGAGGATGTGCGCCCAGGAAAACACTGGCTCTGGGGTTATCCGAAGATGTCTGAAAGAGAAAGAACTGAGGTTCAAGAGACGATTGCCCAAGTCTTTACACTTACTCAAACTTCCGAGTAACAGTAGATTTGCTCTCTGAGAAAATAGCTCAGCATCTTTCCTCCTTGTTTATGAAATACATTTTAGGGTATATAAAGTGCTCTTACATTGATCTTCCATTTGTCACCACCAAGAGTCTATTTACAGCACTTCCTCATATCTGGCACAGCATGTTTGGCTACCAGGGAAAAATTACCAGGCATACCAAAGGGCAAAAAACACAATTGGAAGAGGCAGAGCAGAACCATACATGGCAGAGAAGTTGGAATTAAAAGATGACAGGACTCGCATGACGGCTGGAATAATTTACTGAGCCAAAAGTCAAGGCAGAGTCACAGCCAAAAATCAATTCCAGAGGATTAAGGACTTAGTTATGAAAAGCAAAATATTAAAACTTGAAGAAAAAATATAAAACATCTTTCTGACCTCTAAATGGGGAAGGAATTCTTAAGGCACAGAAGTATTAATCATAAAAGGAAAGACTGGTCATTTTCTTACTGTAATATTAAGATCTGTTTATCAAAAGAAAACAAAAGATTTGCCAATATCTGTGACAAGTTTGCAACATGTAAAATCAACAGAAGACCAGTATTCAGGTCATATAAAGAAATGTTACAGACAAGTAAGAAAAAGACAACACAATAGAAAAATGAGCAAGAGATCTGACACATTGTTCCAGAGGAGAAAAATACAAATGGCGAATGAACATATAAAAAGGTGAACAACCTCATTGGTAATAATAAAAGCACAAATTAAGCTGATGGTAGGAGTATAAATTCACATGAACACTTGCAAACAATTTAACCTTGTCTTATGAATCTTACCAAGATGAATGTTTACAAATCCTCCAACTGAGCAAATTCCCCACCAGCACCACTACCTATATTCTCCAGAGAAACTGGTATATTTGTACAGGGAGATGTGCACAGTGTTTTTAACAGCTTTACTCAAAATAGCAAAAAGCTGTATTTAACACAAATGTCCACCAACAGGAGAGCAAATGAATTGAGCTATAATCATCCAATAAAATACTAGACAACAGGGAAAAATCAGTAAATCACAGCTGCACGCAACAACTCAGGTACACTGTAGAAATCTAATGAATGTAAAAAAAGCAAGTATCAGGTAACTACACACAAATGATGACATTTCTTAGTAAATGAAGCTCAAGGTCATCAAAACCTAAGAATATTTCTGTGTCAGCAAATGCACATGGAATACTGTTTTTTACAGTTCTATAATCATTTTATCACATGGAGATTCATGCAGCCCCCATTGGAATGAAGACACAGACCTGCCCCTCACTGCACAAAACTCCTTCTCATGCCATTCTGCAGTCAGACCCACCCCCTCTGCTCCGCCCCTTATCTCTGGGAAGCACTCACAGCGCTCCATCTTTTCTTTGGGTCATTTCTAGAATGGTAATCAGTTGAACCATACATTATGTGATTTTTTGGTATTGGTGTTTTTGTTTGTTTGTTTGTTTACTCAGCATAATGCTCTCGAGATCTGCCTAAGTTGTCGCATCCAACAGTGGTTGTTTCCTTTTATTGCTGAAGAATATTCTGTGGTTCGAATGTATCACAGTTTCTCTGACCACCATGCTACAACATTTTAGTTGTTTGGGACTATTACAAATAAATCTTCCAGGAGAAACTGCACACTGGTTTTTTGTGGATATAAGTTTTTATTTCTCTAGGATAAAACACAAGAGGGTGATGCTGGGTCATATGATAGATTTATGTTTAGCTTTTTTAAAACTGCCCAACTTTGGGACAACTGTAATGGCATAATCAATAAAACATAATGTAAAAGACCCTGCCCAACTATTTCCGAGAGCGGCTATACCATTGTAACCAGCAGTGCGTGAGAGATTCAGTTTTTCCGCATCCTTGTCAGCATGGGCATTCTTGCTATTTTTTATTTTAGTTTTTCTAATAAGTGTGTAGAGATAGCTCATCATGGTCCTCCTTTGCATGTCCCTAATAGCTAATGGTGTCAAATATCATGTGCTTATTTGCCATCAATATATTCTTTTCAGTAGAATGTCTCCTTATATATATATTTTTGCTTATTCTCTAATAGAGTTGTTTCCTTTTTAACTGTTGAGTTTTGAGTTCTTTGCACAGTGTAGATATGAATCTTTCATCAGGTATGTGTTTTGCAAATATTTCCATCAGTCTGTAGCTTATCTTTTCATCTCCTTTAGAGCCCTTCATAGGGCAAATATTTTTAATTTGCATAAAGTCCAATTTATTTATTTTTTCTTTTAGAGATCATGTCTCTGATATCATGTTTTAAGAACTCTCATGCAGTCAAACTTCTAAAGTTTTCTCTTATGTTTCATCCAAACATTTTATAGTTTCTGTTTTACATTTAAATCTACAAACTATTTTGTGCTGTACAAGGTGTTTTTTTATTTGTTTGTTTTGCCTATGGATACCCAATTGCTCCAGCACCATTTGTTGAAAAAAAAAATGTCTTTCCTCCTCTGAATTGCATTGGATCATTGTCAAAAATGAGTTGGCTCAGCTTGCATGTGGCTATTTCCAGGTTCTGTATTCTGTCCCACTGATCTGTGTCTATTCCTCTAATTCTTCACAGTCTCGACTATTGTAGCTATCTAATGTATCTTGAAATCAGTAGAGCAATTGATCCCACTTTATTCCTCTTTTTCAAAATTGTTAGACATCCTATTATAGCATTTTCCCCTTTTTATATGCATTTTCAGGATAATCTTGTCTGTATCTAAAAAAGTCCTTGCTGAAATTTTTATAATAATTGCGCTAAAAGTGAATATCAATTTGGGGACAACTGGTGTCTTTACTATGCTGAATCTTCCCATTTATAAATATGGCCTGTCACTCCATTTATAAATTAAGTTAGTAATTTAGAAAACTCTCCAGACAATTGGCAGACCCAAAGAGTTTCACTGGAAAATTGTACCAAATATTTAAAGAAGAATTAACTATTAATCCTATAGATCTGCTTTGATTCCTTTCACTGGCATGTCATTTTGGATATACAAATTGTGTGCATGTTTTATTAGGCTTACACATAAGTATTTCATGTTTTGAGCTATTATAAGTTACATTGCATATTTAATTTCAGCATCCATGTATATGGATGTACATTGCCAGCATATGGGGATACACAGGGGGGATTTTTTTGTAGATTCCATTGGACTTTCCTAGCAGATCTCATGGCATCTGCAAAGAAGAGCAGATGTTTTTTCTGATCTGTACGCCTTCTGGGTTCTCTCCTTCCTTTATTCCACTTTGTAGAATTTCCAGTACTTGATAGATGAGAGTATTTGATAAATATTCTTTTTTTAAATTTTATTTTGAATTTATTTTTAAATATTTTATTTATTTTTAGAGAGAGGGGAAGGGAAGGAGAAATAGAGGAAGAGAAACATCAATGTGTGGTTGCCTCTCACAACCCAGGCACGTGCCCTGACTGGGAATTGAACCAGCGACCCTTTGCCTCAGAGGCCTGTGCTCAATCCACCAAGCTACACCAGCCAGGGCTGATAAATATTCTTTATCAGCTTTAGGAAGTTCCTCTCTACTATTTTTCTGAGAGGTTTTTTTAAAAAAAAAAATCATGAAGAGCTAGTTGAATTTTGTCAAGTGATTATTCTGCTTCAATTAGTGCAATTGCAATTTTTTAAGATTCTGTGGTGGACTATACTGATTGCTTTTCATATAAAATAGCCTTGTATCCCTAGAATAATCTCCATTTTGTTGTGGCATATAATTATTTTCATAT